ATGAATGCTAGGTGAGTGCTCTACCTCTGAGCCACAACACCAGCCCCTTCAATTGCATTTTTAAAAACCTCATTGAGTATATATCATGACCCCAAATGACTGGAATTCGGCGCTGGGGATGTGGCTCAAGCGGTAGCGCGTTCGCCTGGCATGCGTGCGACCCGGGTTCGATCCTCAGCACCACATACAAAGATGTTGTGCCCGCCAAAAAACTAAAAAATAAATGTTAAAAAATTCTCTCTCTCTCTCTCTCTCTCTCTGTCTCTCACTCTCTCTTAAAAAAAAATGACTGGAATTCATTTGCCTAGAATTAAGAAAGCCATGACCATCTTGAAATCATATATACATCTCTTCAAAAGAAAAGGCTTTCCTCAGTGCATTTGAAATTATGCATCTGGGCTGGGGATGTGGCTCAAGTGGTAGTGTGCTCACCTGGCATACGTGAGGCACTGGGTTCGATTCTCAGCACCACATAAAAATAAAATAAAGATATTGTATCCACCTAAAAAAAACTAATAAATATTAAAAAGAAAGAAATTATGCATAAAAGTAGCATTAACACCCCATAGAAGTAGAAAACATCTCTAAGCTAGAATAAACTGTCTAAGCAGCAAAAATGTAAATATATAACATAATCGGAAAACCACTGCAGGACACAAAAACAGTACTGGTAAAATTTAGTCCCCAGTACTTGGTGGAGAAAGTATTCAAACATATTTATCATTATTAATTAGCAATCCGTTACAGTTATGCAGGGAACAAAGCCTGTTCAGAAAGAAAATAAATCAAAGTATCACTACCTTAATAGAAGTTGTCATTCAGAACAGCAGATTTTGCAGCATCTGGGTATCATTTTCTGTAAAACTAAAGTGCCGCAGTCTGGCTGGGCACAATCAGGAGCCACTTGTCAAAAGAAACTAACTTTATTTTTAGAACCACACACGCCAAACAAAACAGCCTCTCAGGAAAAACCCTCAGAGCCTCAACTGCCACCACCGGCTTTCCACAAGCCTCTCTCTCCCACACAAGCTTCTCTCCACCTCCCACAATCCTCCTCCTCTTCTGGCGGATTGGCTGGGTCACGTGGGCGGAGCCAAAAAAGTCCCCCAATGAGCAGCTCCGTGGTCTGAAAGGGCAGGGAAACAGCCCAATGAGCATCACCGCAGAGGAGCCAATCAGCTAGATGTTGCTGGGGCCGCTGTGAGCCAATCATCAGCCAGCAGCTGGAAGTTTGCTGGCAGCTGGAAGTTTGCTGGGGCCCCTTTGGCTGTGGCTCTCAACACTAAAGGACAGAAAAAGATGTACCATGCTAACAATAGACGAAGGAAAGATGCAGTAGCTACATTAATTTTAAACAAAGAATACCCTTGAACTGGGAAAATCATCAAGGATAATGAGGAGTATTATACAATGATAAAGGAAGAGATCAATACTCCAAGAAGGTGAAAGAATTTTTAATGTGTAGACACCTATCAACAATGTCAAAATTTGTGAGGCAGCCAGGCACGGTGACAAACACCTATAATCCCAGCAGCTCGGGAGGCTGAGGCAAGAGGATCATGAGTTCAAAGCCAGCCTCAGCAAAAGCAGGGCATTAAGTAACTCAGTGAGACCCTGTCTCTAATAAATAAAACACAAAAGAGGGCTGAGGATGTGGCTCAGTGATTGAGTGCCCCTGAGTTCAATCCCCAGTACCCCAGAAAGAAAAATTTGTTGAGGCAAAGAGGAACAGAACTGTAAAGAGAAATAGATGAATTCACCACTATACTTGGAGATGTCAACACTTGTCTATTAGTAGTGGACAGATCCAGCAGGTGAAAATCAGTAAGGATACAGCTGAACTGAACGGCATCATCCATCAACTGAAACTAATTTACATTTACAAATATCCATCCAACAACAGCAAAGTACACATTCCCCTCCAGCTCACACAGATCATTTGCCAAGACAGACCATATTCTGGAACATAAATTCTGAAAAAACTTAGAAGAATAGAAATCATATAAAATTGCTACCAGACCAAATGGCATTGAACTAACAGTGAGAAAAATATAGCTTGAAATTTTTTAAATATTTGGAGATTATACAATACACTTCTAAATAACACTTGGGTCATAGAAATCTCAATAAAAATTTTGAAATATTTTAATCAAATTAAGATGAAAATACAACTTATAAAAACTTGTAGAATTCAGGAAATACAGTGCTTAACGGGAAATTACAGCAATGAATGCATAGCTTTCCAAGGCAGAAAACATTCAGGCTCAGACAGTTTATCTTTTTGATATAGTGCAGACTGAACTCACGGCATGCTAGGCAAGCATTCTGCCACTGAGATATATCCCTTCTGGGCCTGGATAGTTTTAATGGTGAATTTTCATCAAACATTTAAGGGAGAAATGATACTATTCTCTATAATATCTTTCCAAAAAGCAAAGTGAGGCTAGCATTAAATACTAAACCCAGAGGAAGATATTACAGGAAGTGAAACAGAGCAATATATCTCATGATCATAAGTACAAAAATAATTTTTATTACAGTATTGGGAATTGAACCAAGGGGCATTTTACCACTGAGCTATATATCTCTAGCCCATTTTATTTTTGATTTTGATACAAGGTCTTGCTAAATTTCTGAGGCTGACCTTGAATTTGTGATCTTCCTGCCTCAGCCTCTCAAATTGCTGGGATTATAGGAGTATGCCACCACTCCTGGCTTAGGCAACTGATCTTTTTTTTGGGGGGGGGGTGGGGGGACCAGGGATTGAACTCAGAAGCACTCAACCACTGAGCCATATCCCCAGCCCTATTTTGTATTTTTTTAGAGGCTAGATCTCACTGGGTTGCTTAGCACCTCACTTTTTACTGAGGCTGGCTCTGAACTTGAGATCCTCCTGTCTCAGCCTCACAAGCTGCTGGGATTAGAGGTGTGCACCACCCCACCTAGCCAGGCAACTGATTTTTGACAAAGGAGCAAAGACAATTCAGTGGAGGAAGGAAAGAGTGTATTCAACAAGTAGTGCTGAAACAAGTAGATTTCCATACGCAAAAAATGAATCTAGACACAAAAATTACATAATTCACAAAAATCAACTCAAAATGGATCTTAGACATACATAAAAATACAAAACTTTATAACTTCTAGAAGATAATAGAAAATTTATGTGACTTTGAGTTTTGTGAATGAGTTCCTGATATGACCACCAAAAGTACAACTCATGTTGGAAAAAAGTAGCAATTAAAAGTTTTATTGAAAACTTTGTGGCCTGGGGTTGTGGCTCAGAGGTAGTGCTCGCCTAACATGCGAGAGGCACTGGGTTCGATCCTTAGCATCCTATGAAAATAAAGAGATTGTGTCCACCTATTACTAATAAATAAATATTAAAAACAAAAAACAGCAAAAAAACCCTTTTGTTCCAAGGGCTGAGGCTGGGGCTCAGCGACAGAGTGCTTACCTTGCATGTGCGAGGCGCTGGGTTCAATCCTCAGCAGCACATAAAAATAAATAAACACCACATAAAAATAAATAAATAAAATAAAGATATTGTGTCCAACTACAACTAAAAAACAACAACAACAAAAACAACTTTTGTTCTAGGCCTGGGGTTGTAGCTCAGTGTAGAGCGCTCACCTAGCACATGTGAGCACTGGGTTCAATCCTCAGCACCACATAAAAATAAATAAATAAAATATAGTGTCCATCTACAACTAAAAAACAAAACTAAAAATAAAAACTTTTGTTCTGTGAAAGACACCGTTAAAAGGACAAAGAGGCCACAGAATGGGAGAAAATCTTTGTAAACATATATCTAATACAGTAAAGCTTGTATCCAAAATGTACAAAGAACTCTTAGAACTCAAAAAAAAGAGGATTAACAACTACCCAACTAAAAATGGACAAAAAAATCTAAATAGACACTTAACTAAAGAAGATATTCAGAGGGCAGATAACCATATGAAAAGATGCTAAACATCAGATATCATTAGGGAATATGGAAATTAAACCAACAATGAAATACCACTCTACCCATTATTAGAATGTCCAAAATCCAAAAAACTACCAATACCAAATGCTTCTAGGGAGGAGGAATGACAGGGATACTTATTCATTGCTGGTGGGAATACAAAATGATAAATTACTTTGGGAGACAGTTTGGCAGTTTCTTACAAAACTAAACACAGTCATATATAAGCCAGTAATCATACTCCTAGGTATTAACCCAGTTGTTGAAATGTATGTCCAAACGAAAACCTGCACACAAATGTTTATAATAGCTTTATTTATAGTTACCAAAAACTGGAAGCAGCCAAGATTTCCTTCATGGGTGACTGGATAAACACACTATGATATATCCCATACAGTACAGTAGAATATTATTCAGCAATAAAAGGAGCTTTCAAGTCATGAAAAGACATGGGGGAATCCTTAACTGCATACTGCTTACTGATTAGAAGTCAATATGAAAAGTCGACACACTATGTGACATTTTGGAAAAGGCAAAACTATAGAGACAGTAAGAGGATCAAAGGTTGCCAAGGACTCAGGGAGAAAGGGTAAAGCATAGTGAATTTTAAGGATGGTGAAAGTATTCTGTATGAAACTGTAATGGTGAATACCTAATTATGCATTTGGGAAAACCTACAACACAAATATTGATACTTTAATGTAAACCACTGACTACAGTTAATAATAATGTATTAATATTGGTTCATCCATTGCAACAAATTTGATACATAAATGCAGTATGTTGATAACAGATGAAACTGTGTGACGAAGGAGGAGGATGTGGGATGGTAATAAGGAATTCCTGCTCAATTATTCTGGTAAATGGTAATAAGAAACTCTATGCTCAATTATTCTGTAAATCAAAGCCTATACTAAAAAATTAAGTCTATTAATTATAAAATAAAAGCAAAATGACTAAAATAAGTATATTTTGGTTCTAATTACAAAGGTTATATACATGCCTTTACATAAGAGTGATTTCAAACAAATCAATATAAAGACAATATAAAAATTTTATTATGTTATACTTTGCTACTCTTCTTGACCTCAATATATTCTTAGGTACAGAGCAACAGATTGTTTGTAAACAACAAAACGTATTTCATTAAAAATCATCCACTAATACTTGAACTGTCCTTTGTACACTGGAGATACTGGATTAAATGATTTCTTAGAAATGCCATGCCAATTATTATTTTTTTTGTTTCTACAATGTATGTTATCCAATGTTTTGGTCTTACTGATCTTATTTCATAGAGCTATCTATGATGCTCTGTGATGTGAACAAATCATCTTATGTCCCCTACTTCTGCAAGCAAGTAACAAAGCTTCCACCTCTAGTCATCGCCTGGCTGGTTTTTGTTTGAAGTTTCTGGGCAAGACTTAGCTCCATATACCTGGGTAGAAGCACATATCTGACAAGAAACATCAACATCAGGACTGAAAGTCCCAGGGCTACAAACCACTGCAAAAGAAAACACATGGAAGAGAGCATTATAATTTACAGATATTTTATATCAATAATATAAATCTGCCTTCAATATCATACCATTTCTATATCTATAATACACTTGTTCAGCCAATTAAATTGTAATATGATCTTTTGTTTATTTATTTTTTAGTTGTAGTTGGACACAATGCCTTTATTTTACTTATTTATTTTTATGTGGTGCTGAGGATCGAACCCAGAGGCTCCCACATGTTAGGCGAGCGCTCTACCACTGAGCACAACCCCAGCCCAATATGACAATCTTAAAGATTTAAGAAAAAGAACCCTATTTTTTCTTTTAGTACTGGCATTTTACAGTATCTTCTGCAATGCCCCATCTATGAGTTCCTTTTTCCAGTTTTCTATTCCTATTTCCTATTTCTATGTTTTCTAGGCAAAACCATGTGGTTTTCTTTCATAGTACAGTATCTTAAATCAACACTATAGAAATGTTTTGTAATACAAGAGTATATTAGGAAGAATTAATATGCATTAATATAATTGTATTTAGAAAATTTGGGCCTTGACTTTTTACTTCCCTTTTGGTAAATATGTTTCTGAAAGAGAATTGGTGTAGATTCAAATCAGCTGTATATATCAGGCCCACACCTGTAATTCCAGCGACTCTGGAGGCTGAGGCAGGAAGCTCACAAGTTTGAGGTCAGCCTCAGCAATTCGTCAAGGCTTTAAGCAACTTAGTGAAACCCTGTCTCAAAATAACAAAGAGGGCTGGAGATGTGGCTCAGTGGTAAAGCACTCTTGGGTTCAATCCTGGTACAAAAAAAGATTCAAATAAATTATCCTAATATAATTATTTATCTATTCTTCTGACTATATAACCTAGATATGTAGATATTTATTTTATAATTACCACAACAACTAGCACAATTGCTGTGTAGACCTTCATCTTTTCCAAAGCCTGGTCGACAGCTATCCATACGTACTACTTGAAAACTGTGGTCCACAAAATGCATAGCTGGTACAGTGTTATTAAGGCGATGATAGAACGTATACGCTTGGCTCCGAAAAAATTCTTCTATTCTGTCTCTTGCCTAAGATTTAAAAGTATAAGAGAAAAATACAATTACTACACCATGAGCCAATTTGTTCTGCTGTATCAGAGGCAATTAAAAGCAGCATAAACATTCCATGCTTTGTACAACAGGTGAATTCCAAAAAAGTTGTATAAGACTAAAAAGTCTAAAATTAGTCTAGTCTTAACCTTATCAACTATTGTAAATTCATGTGTAAAATGGTTAAGAAAAAATAAAGTTAAAAAAAAAAAAACTTAAATTAACCAGGAACCTGTTGGCACACACCTATAATACCAGCGATTCAGGAGGCTGAGGGAGGAAGATCAAAAGTTCAAGGCCAATTTGGGCAATTCAGTGAGACTCTGTTTCAAAATAAAAAAATAAGGGGTAGAGATGTAGCTCAGTGGTAGAGTGCTCCTGGGTTCAAATTCCCAGTACTGCAAAAACAAACAAACTTTCTTGTTTTGAATTACTTGTAACATATCCATTCCTTATGTAGATAACTGGGAGTTCATTATTTCTAATTCTATTTGCTCATATGAAAAAAAAACCTAGAACAATGTAAAATGGAAACAAAGACTTCTCTCTAACCAGCATCACAAACTAATAATGTAAATTTTGTGTTATTTCTTGAGTACAGAGTTTAATAACTAATATTAATGGAGTTATGTCCCATAAGTCATACACAACATTAATGATATAGGAATTAGACCAAGAATGGTATAGACTTAGGAACTAGACCAAGAGAATGGGATTTTTAAGACTATGTCCTTAGTCTCTGAGGATGGCAGAGAAAATGAGAGCTGTTATGACTAGAACAGATACAATTTTGGAAGAACTACTGGTTTAACCTAGATTGTGAGGTTATTCTTCAATCTTCAATCTTAATCATCTTTTGGGGGGAAAAAAAAACCAGGGATCAATCCTTCAATTATAGATAAAATGCATATTATTCTGGAAACTACATAATATTCCAGATGTACCACTCTAAAAAAATAATAACCTTTTGAAATAGCCAAGAATCTCAATGTCAGTTTAAAAACATTGAAACCAAAAGTCATTACTATGTTATATTTGCTTTGTTGTTGTTGTTTTGGTTTTGTACTGGGGATTGAATCCAGGGGCACTTAACCACTGAGCTACATCACCAACCCTAAATTGTTGAGGCTGGCCTTAAACTTGCCTCAGCCTTCTGAGTTATATGTGGCATTGTGTCTGGCTGGTGTATTTTGTTTTTGTTTTAGTAGTGGAGATTGAAGCCAGGGGTGCTTCACCACTGAGCTACATCCTTGGTCTTTTAAATTTTTTACTCTTTTAAAAAATGTTACTTATTTAATTATCTATTTACTTATTTGGTACTGGGGTTTTAGTTCAAGGGCTCTTTACCACTGAGCTACATCCTAGCTCTTTTTATTTTTGGGGATAGGTTCTCATTTAGTTGCTTAGGACCTCAAACTTGCTATCCTCCCACCTCAGCTTCCTGAATTGCTGGGATTACAGGTGTGCACCACCATGCCCAGCCTTTTTGTTTTTATTTTGAGACAGGGTCTTTCTAAGTTTCTTAGGGCCTTGCTAAATTGCTGAGGCTGGCCTCAAACTTGTGATCTTCCTGCCTCAGCCTCCTAAATTGCTGGGATTATAGGTATGAGCTACCCCACTCAGCTACATATATATTTTAAAATAATAATTTAAATATATTTCTTACAAATGTTTTTACTAAGGATAAACATTCACAACATGAATAAATACACACACATATATTATATATTTTTTTCCCAGTACTGGGGCTTGAACCAAGAGGCACTATACCACTGAACTACATCCTCAACTTTGTTTTTTTGACACAGGGCCTCAGTAAGTTGCCAAAGCTAAGGGCCTCTCTAAATGTTGAGGCTGGCCTTAAACTTGAGATCCTTGAACTTGAGATCCTCCTTCTTCAGCCTCTCACGTAACTGGGATTACCAGCATATACCACTGTGCCAGGCTTACAAAATTTTTAAATAGCTTTACTGACTATTCAAGTTCTTTTTCCTTGTGATAAATTTCTCACCTTGAGGATATTACGATTAGTGATATCTTCACAGTCAACACTATCATTGCATGCACTTTCCCACCCTGGAGCAAAAGGATCAACTGGGGAGGAAAACACGATAGGTTCACAAAAGGATTCTAAACGGTTCCAAACATTTCAATAAAGCCCCAAGTACTTTATTTAGTATGCAAGCCCATGTTCACTTCATCTAGCTATCTAGTCCTAGTAGTAAAGTTAGATGTACAATTTGAATAATTTATACATTATGACTTTACTCCATCTGGGGGCTAATGGAAGTAACTACAAGGCTTTAAAACGGGGGAAAAAAATGGGCTGGGTTTGTGGCTCAGTGGGAGGCTCTGGGTTTGAGCCTCAGCACCACATCAAAATAAATAAATAAAAATAAAGGTATTGTGTCCAACTACAAGTAAAAAAATTTTTAAAAATAGGAAAAAAAAGCCTGTGTTTGGTTACTCCCTTTTATTAAATGCTCAAAAATACAATTAAAAATTCTATAAGAAGTTACAAATAAAATATTATATAATTAAATGCTATGATAATTAATTGATATTGACTTCTAAATTACAAGCAAAAATATATCATATTTGAAGGTAAATAACTTGTATGCTAATTTTTAAAACCATAACCAGGCAACAATATATTTTAGTGTTTAACAAATATTTAAAACTCATTATTTATAAGATATTTCATATTCATGCAATAATTAATCATTCAGGACTAAACTCATAAAATTAAAGAAATGTTTTAAAATTTGTTTTTACCTCGAAAAGCTATGAACAGCTCATGTAAAAGGCTATGTTCTGGAATTTTAACAAAATGGCATTTATATGATGGTTCTACAACATGGCACAACAAATCAGAGATCAAATTATCCAAGATTTTCCTCAGCACTCTAAAGAGCAGGTCATTATATCTTCCTACACAGGACTTTGTAGTAAAACGTACAGCCATCTGATATGAATAATCAGGTTCCCGATAGGCTTTGAAAAAAGATGAGAATGAAAACAATTGTGCCTAGCATTAATTGTTCTATCAAACATTTTTCAAATAACATGTAATATTAAATCCCATCAATATTGCAAATAAACATAGAAACCTTATCTAGTAAAATGCTTTAACAATTTGTCCTCATAAAACATATAAAACGAATAATTTTACTGAAAAAAAAGTTATTTTCATCTGATATTTATCTACTTACAAGAAGAAAAATGGCTTGGGTTGCCTATATAGATAAGAGCATCAAGAAAAAAAAAAAGATTGCTTTTGGGGAGGGTCTTCATTTGCAGAAAGTATCATTGCTGTTATAGAATTGAATATCAGTTTTTAAATTACCTGGAAAAATACCTGGATAAAGTAGTTTGTACTTACATACCTAGGTAGTAGAAAGTAGGGAGTTAAAAGAGAGTTATTTAGGATAAACTTGTTAATTTGAGTTTACCTAATTAAACACACCTCAAAATATTCATAAATCATAATGATTACCTATACCCGATTCATTTTCACTAAATGAAGAAGTCTTATACTTAATTCTGATTCAAACTAAATATATAAATTGAAATGTGCTCATTCTCACCAAAGATCATAAATTCATATCTCCTCTTTATTGTAGTTTCTTCTTGGATTTCTGCTTTGACAGTCTTATAAGAAAGAGTACATGAATAAAGTCCAGACAAAGGCTCCAGAAAATCTCTCACCATTAGCTTTCCCGTTTCTGTTATACTTATTCGACTATTGTCTATGCAGAAATAGTAAATTATTTGGTTATTTAACAGATAACAATCAAGTTATTTAGTAAATTTGGGTTACAAATAGACACAGACACTTAAAAAAACTAATGGTTTATTTCAACTCCAAGAATCTAACAAAATCTTAATTCTATCATATTACTCTATGAAAAGCCACATAAGTAGTACACTTTTGAAATGAAATGTATATTGGTTTACTTTGATTCACTTCTTCGCATCTACTTTCAATTAGTTTATGCCAGTAATTCAGTAAATGAAATATAATTTCTTCACATAAGCCAAATTAATTAATAATACTTATATCCCAAGGCACTCTTCTAACATCATGAAAAATTACCTATTAAATATCTCATCTCATATTACTGGTGGTACAAAGATAAAATAAAGATTTTTGAATGAATATAGCTCAGAAGTAGGATACAAAATTAACTGCTTCAAGGGCTGTTGATGTAACTTAGTGAAAGAGCATTGCCTAGCATGTATAAAGGCCCTGGATTCAATTTCCAACACCATGAAAAATAAGAAAAAAAATACTGTTTCAGATTTTGGAGAAATTAAGGCATAGACTAACATATAACACTATTTATCCAAGTGTAGGGCAAGGTAAAAACTGTAGTCAAAACTAAATTTATTCTTTTCAATAAATGACAGTGCTTTTTAAAAACAATGTTCACATCATTAAAATTATATTAAAATCAAATAATTTACCTGTTAATGTCTTTTCCTTTGGCCCAATCCATAAGTAGGTGGGATCCACTGTTTCTGTATTAGCACGATTCAAATCCATACAGATAAGGACTGGGCTATTTTGATGTAATTTTACATATATTTTCACTGTGACAAAATAAAACAATGTATAACTACATTATATAGCAAAACTACAAAATACACTCATACCAAGGATACTAATAATTTGTTCTTTTTTAAGTCCTTTTTTTTTTAATTTGAGACAGTTATCTCCCTAAGTTGCTTAGGGCCCTCACTAAGTTGCTGAGACTGGCTTTGAACTTGCCATCCTCCTGCTTCACCCTCCTGAGCTGTGGAATTACAGCTGTGGGCCTCCATGCCTGGTGGTTTCAGACTTTTAAAAATCAATGATTATAAAGTTGGCACAGTGGCACAGGCCTGTAATCCCAGCAATTTGGGAGGCTGAGAAATTAGGATTCAGAGTTCAAAGGCAGTCTCAGCAGATTAGCTAGGCACTTAGCAACTCAATGAGACCCTGTCTTTAAATAAAATACTAAAAAGGGCTGGGGATGTGGCTCAGTGGTTAACCACCACCCTTGGGTTCCATCCCAGTACCAAAAAAAAAAAAAAAAATCAGTGATTATAGCGTTTAGGATGGTAGTCTGAATTTCTCCTTGCTTCTCATGGTAAGTTTTAACAACTCTATAGACTGTTAGGGCCATGATATTCTTATTCTGTTTACATAAGACATTTAGAAAGTCATTTGGATGTACAGGTTCAGAACTCACTGAAATCATAAAAATTTTTTAGGGCACTGTGGATTGAACTCAGGGCTCTCTACCGCTGAGCTACATCCCCAGTCCTTTTTACTTTTGAGGCAGGGTTTTGCTAAATTGCCCAGTCTGGGCTTGAACTTGTAACCCTCCTGCCTCAGTCTTTTCAGTGCTGGGATTACAGCACACATGGATCACCACACATGGCTGCTCAAATAATTTTTTCAGGGCTAGGGGTGCAGTACCAGGGATTGAACCCAGAGGCGATTAACCACTGAGCCATATCCCCAGCCCATTTATTTTTTTGTTTTGAGACAGTGTCTCCCTAAGTTGCTTAGGGCCTTGTTAAGTTGCTGAGGCTGGCTTTGAATTTGTGAACGTCCTGCCTCAGCGTGCACCACCATACTGGGCTAAAATCATAATTTTTTAAGGGATAATGGAATCAATTTAAAGTCCAGAGAAAGCCTTGAATTCACTGCAAAATTATTTTAAAGATATTATTTCTAAGGGACACCTGGTATTTCACTGTAAATTTCCTTTGTTGGGCACAGTAATTAAGCCCATAGGAAGCATTCTAGGAAAGTGTTCTGCAATTATGTTTTTTGCTTGTTTCTTTTGCTTTTCTTTTGTATTGGGGATGGAACCCAGGTGCGCTTAACCACTGAGCCACATCCCCAAACTCTTTTTATATTTTATTTAGAGACAGGTCTTGATAAGTTGCTGAGGTTGGCTATGAACTCATGATCCTCCTGCCCCAGTCTCCCGATAACAGGCGTGTGCCACCAGGCCCCGCAGCAATTACGCATTCTGATTCAGATAATATGACGGTATGCTTGGAATTCAGTCCCACAAGATATTAATTTTAAAGCCTATTGAATGCCAGGCCCTGAATATATAAAGGCATTATCCTATAATTTGGTGGTAGTGGTGGTGTTGAGGGAGAGGGTTCAAACATGACATACTGTGAACAGGCCCAGTTATCTCAAAGTAGCTGGGTGACTAGCTTTCCTTGGGGAGTATGGTAAAGTTACACCACAGTGAATAACATTTGAGTTAATCCCTTAATGGATGAATAGGAGATCTACTTAACAAGGGGAGGGATGACAGACGTTCACACAGAGCGACTTCCAGCCCAGGAAATCACCCCTGTGGGTGGGGTTCCCACGTTGCAAAGCAGCAGAACCCTTTGGAAGTGAGATGCCATCGCAACAAGAGATCTGCGTTGAATCCTGGCTCCTTAAGAGCTGTGCGGCTCTAGGCAAGGCGATACAACTAGCTAGGGTCGCTGTTCAGGATGAAAAGATGCAATCTTCACGAACTGCAGGGCACAGGGCAGATGCACAGTGCACGTTCGCACCCTTTTCCTCTGCGGGAACAACCCCAGCAGGTCCATGGCATCCTGGACTTTTCTGAAAGGCCGTCCGTGAGAAGAGGTCCTTATTACCTGGGTGTCCTATCTTGCCAAAAACGAAGCCTTTCTTATTGAGTAAGGATGAACGCTGGCATCCAACTGCGGAGGAAAGAAACCACTGACTTTTTAGTTAGATAAGGAGCCAGGGCTCAGAGTGGGTCAGGGTAGGGCAAAACCAAGGAGGCAGGACTGGGAACCTCGGGCAGAGAGACTTGGGGGCACGGTGGGACAATCCACACCTCCTGTGAGGTACCAGAGCACCGCAGAGAGAAGGGCCCACGCTTGCATCACGGCTCAGGGGCTAAAGTGGCGGGAGGCGTCGACAGGTGGGCTCCTTCCTACCTCAGCCCCTGCCCAGTACCTTCCCATCGCTCCCCCACGCAGCGGAGCAAACGGCCGGGGTCGCCGACTCTACCCGTCCGTCGCTACCGCGGAAGCAGCCCCCACCGGAAGACGCGTGCGTGCTCCAAGCGCGCGCGCGCGGGGCGGGGCGAGTGAGCTGGAGGAGAGCGCCCCGCCCCTGGCGCACGCGCGGCGGCGGCGGCGGCGGTCGTGCTGCCCTTCGCGCCTCGTGTCGGCGCCATTTTCCCGCGCTCTCGGCTCCCAAGCGAAGAAGAGAGCGAGGAAAACGAATTCAGGGCTCTGCGGGCTGGGGATTTCCGTAGACTGAGGACCATCACATGAGGACCAGAGGAAGGGAGAAGCTTGGGAGAATTAATTTCTCACACACACACACACAAAACAGCTTCCCGCGTAGGAATTTCATGTGCCCCTTTCCCCATGAACTGCGTCTGCAACTCTGCGTCCAGTCTCCTTCAAAATCACTACCAGTGATTCCCTAACTGCTTTCTGTCCACAAAACCAAGACCTGGAAGAAACACTAGTGCACCAAGGCGCCTCCAGGCCTTTCCCTACACAGTAACGTTGACTCTTGGTTTTCAGCTTCAAGTAGGAGATGGGGTGGAGTCAGCCCCCCCCCCCCCGCCTCCTGCGCATTAATTGGGAAGTAACTTTAAGAAAATGGGCCCAATCTGAAAGTCACGAGCCCAAACTGTGCTTTTCCGGAGGGTATGGATGATAAGTCAATACCAGAGAGTGCCACCACAGATGGCGCCCACGTCGTCCATGGTTCCTTCTTGCCTACTAGGTTTGTGGCCTGAAAGGCCCTATGTGTTATCTACTTCTTAACAGCGGGACGCCACCCTCAGTAGTGGTTTTGAGTAGGTAGAGAGCCCAAGGTTCAGACAGGGTGCAGAATGGTTATTTTGGGTGAGATCAAGAGTTTTCAGTTTTATTTCCCTAGAGCCGAGTCAGTATTTGGACTCTCTCAGACGGTCCAGGAGCAACCTTTGTCAGTAATTTCATTTTTAGTCACTGTTAATTTTGCCTACATAGACTAAGCCATGAAATGTGATTCAATGAGTCAGATCCACCCATTGTCAGTTGCCGTGTCTAGATTCATGGTTTAGTCTCAACTGTTCCCTTTTTAAGGTGATGATGATGAAGACAAATTTAGGTATTCGGTTCCCTAGAAGTTTGTCATTCCAGTTTTAATCAAACATTATATATCCACAGTGTTTTACTGACTTGCCACTTACCATAAAGTAATTGATCTTGTGATATCCATGCAATACAGGGTGGCTCTGCTAAGTCTTCTTCAAATGTGTGCTAGTTGTCTGTTGAAAGTACCCATCCACTCTTTTAAAATAAACTTATTTTAGAGGTTTTCCATTTACTGAAAAATTGCAAAGATAGTGTAGGATTTTCATGTATCCTTACCCAGTTTTTCCTGTTATTTGACATCTTCCATTAGTATAGTATATTTCCACACAATAAATCAATACATTACTATTAACTGAAGTTTATGGTTGATTCAGATATCCTTAGTTTTTAACCTCAGTGTTTCTGATCCAGGGGCCCATTCAGGATCTCACACTACATTCAGTGTCATGTCCCCTTAGATTTTCCTTTGCTCTGACAGTTTCTCAGACTTTTCTTGTTTTTGATGACCTTGACCTGGACTTAAGTGATCAAGTATTTTGTAGAAAGCCTCTATTAGAAATTGTCTGATGTTTTTCTTATTAGACTAGGATTGTGGGGTTTTGAGAGGAAGACCACAGAGGTAAAATTATGTGACATTACATCTTATCAAGGATACATACTGTAACCTGCCTTACCACTGTTGATGTTAACCTTGATTGCCTGGCAAAGGTAGGGTTTTGTCAGTTTTTTTCCACTAAAAAATTACCCCCTGGGCTGGGGTTATGGCTTAGAGGTAGAGCGTTTGCCTAGCATGTGTGAGGCACTGGGTTTGATCCTTAGCACCACATAAAAATAAAATAAAGGTATTGTATCCACCTACAACTAAAAATGTTGTTTTTTTTTTTTAAAGTTACTCCCTTTCCCCTTTCTGTAATTTTTGGAAAGAAGACACTATGTGCAGGCTACACTTAAAGAGTGGGATTTATGCTCCACCTTGAGGATGCAGTAGCTACATAAATTATTTTATCCATTTTTTATCCTTTAAATATACTGTATAGTCTAAAATACTCAATACTTAACTAAATGTTTACAGAGTAGCCGTGCATTCCATTGTTAGATAGCAAGAACACTGTTATAGATGATAATAAAAGTTTCTTTGTAACTTTTTAATAACCAAATAACAATTCATCCTGACACCATCCCTGTGAAAGTTTACAGTTCCTCTTCTGCTAATTTTGATGTGCTATTTTTTGCTTTTAGAAACTAACAAACAACAAATTTCCCCTTTCAGTACTAAAATTAAACCTAGTGTTTAGAGTATTTCTCTGAAATTGATATTATCCTGCAGAACTCCAACTCATAACTATAGAGATGCTACTGTGATGCTGTGATCTTAAAGCAAGTACAAGTTAGATGCTTAGTTTTAAAAAATTAAAAATATATAAATAGTGCAGACCATCTATACCAAGGGGCTATTTAAACAAATTCATAAGCATACAGTATGTATATTTTAACTCCTAAACATGAGTTTCTTTTGATATGGTTAGCTAATGTAAAAATCCTCAACTTTAAGTCTCAAATATATTTTTAATATTTATTTTTTAGTTATAGGTGGACACAATATCCTTATTTTATTTTTATGTGATGCTGAGGATTGAACCCAGTGCCTTACGCATGGTAGGCAAGGCTCTACCTCTGAGCCACAACCCCAGCCCTCAAATATATTTGTATATTCCAACAATATGATTTTCTACCAAGGATGGCAGTGGAATCATTTGTATATTGTCCACTCAATTGGGGATCATTGTTAGTACTCACCTAAATAATGTCCCTTAAGATCTTGGTGAGTGGTTAAAGTTACCTTTTATTTTTAAAGTTTTATTATTTTCCATAAAGGCATTCTTAATATGCAACAGTGGAACACATTACTACTCTAAGGGAGAGGAAAAGGAAAAAGGAAACTTCCCTTTTCTTCTCCCTACAGTCAGATATATGCTTTATATCTATAAAGTGGGGAGGATGTTGGGGAAAAATATTGAGTGGTATCTCTGTGAACTAACATCTTTCAGTTAATTTTACTATCTCACCACTCCCTCTTCACTTTCTTTACTTAGTTTTCTGATACATTATATATGTATTTTTGAAAGTGTCCTATTTAGGAGGAGGCAGGGTAGTAGAAAATAAATATGAATAAGTATTTTATGAGTAATGGCAAACAAACCAAATAGTTCCCAGAAAGGAAAACAAAGTTCTCAATGAGGGTTTTTTTAAGCTATCATCCCTGCATCTAGACAAAAATAAATAAATAAATTTGGGTCTTTCAATTTAAGACACAACCTCTGTGAACTTGAGCTGGCTAAGAAAGCAAAGCAGACACCCTCTCCATGTGACTTTACTCTCTCGTCCGTTATCCTTCAAAAATAGACGTTCTGAGACATTCACAGATGCGCTACTTCCATGCTATCGGGGTTCCTCAAGTTTGTCGTTCAAAACCGGCTGAAGGTGCGGAAACCTACGGCGCTCCGCGGTGAACTCGAGCGTCCTTTAAAGTCACCGCCAGCCAGCGCCGCTGTAACCCAGCGCACCACCGACCGGGTCGCTGGCTCCGGGGGCCCCTTCAATCTGCGCCGACGCGGCGGCCAGATCCCGGGGACTCCCCGAGTCAGGAATCTCCCGCCAGCTGCGTGCTGCGTCCCGGCGACGGCAGGAGCACGTGGAGCGGCCGGGCAGCGAGAGCGGCTGCTCCAGACCAGCGGAGCCCGGCGGCGACATGGAAGGTGAGCCCCCAGCACACTTTTCTTGAAGGGTCTTTGAGGAGCTCTACGGGTGCACGCGGCAAAGTTCCTTCTGAATCTCGGTTTTGCTTCCAGTTATTTATTTTGTCAAAAGTAAATGTGAAGTATTTCAGAGGGCAAAGCGTGTCAGTTCTCATACATTCCCTCCCCCAACTTTGAAAAGTTATAACTTCTCCGCATTTGTTTCTTATGGGTTGTCAGACTCGAGGGGTCAATGCTAAGTTTGCAGAGGAAGAACATTTATGGGTCGTCCCTGAATTAGCAACAAACCTGGGGTAGAATAGAGCTTTGGGACGTTTCTTCTTCGTCCTTGGTCTCAATGTCCATTGTAATTAGGCTGATCGGAGTGACTTGTTCTGAATACAGAGACTACTTTTTTCTTCTGTTATATGGAAAAGGTCCATTTTAAAGTTATTGTCACTTGAAGTTTATTTGGAATTCTATCTTCTAATGAACCCTTATTTTACCCAAAGCACAAATCAGGTTCACAATAAGAGTTTCATTTGAATTGACTTGGAAGTCATAAAAGTATCCTTCCTGCTTAAAAAAAAAAAATAGTAAGTACTTCCTTGGGGTAACGAAAATTACACACTGCTATTGTAGACTCTTCAATAGTCTTTTCACCAAAAGTTTGAAAGTGGCAGATGTGTCTCAACTTGGGGGAAGAGGCTTATTTAGAAAAGGAGAATTTTAAAAAGTATTTATTCTGTTTAAAACTGAAATATTGACACAACTAATTGAAAGTTATATGAGTAAATATGAGCATCATGGATATTTTCTTCGTAATAATCAAAGGATCTCTTATTGACAATGAACCTTGATCTTTGGCAGCTTTATTCTAGAGCATGTGAAATTATGAAAATATGATTATATAGTTTGGGACATAGATAAATATGGTAAAGCTTTGTTTCACAATATGATTAAATGTAGTAATACAGTCCTAAGTCATCAAATCCAGTACATGGATTTGCTTATGAAACTTTTTTACTGCCTTGGTCCACATAAACATTTTTTCTCTAAACAAATGCCAAATGATATAATTCAATGAACAGAATTATTTATTAAATAAAAACTCTTAAATAATCATTATGGAATAATGCTTAAAATGTTTTCTTGTGAAAATCTTTATGCTTTTAATTTTTGATATCAGGGTTTAGAAAATTACTTAAAAACTTTTGCACTATGAACATTTAAATAATGGTTTATGAAGTGTAATTTTTAGCATGTAAAGGTTTCATTGGCCAAGAACAGTTAAAAAAAAAAAAAGTTGGGTTGCTGTATTCTATGGGAAAAAGAATTTTAAAAGCTCTTATGCTTTAATTATTACAAATAATTAATTTGTTTTTGTGAAGTTATAAATCAGTACTCCACTACAGTTTTTCCTAGTTTTAATCATATCATTTATCAAGAATAAATATATAAAATTGTGTAAATCCATAGAAACTGGAGTGTTTCTCTATAAATGTTATTGCTGAATTCATTTATTCAATGTGAAATAAAGAACCTAAACTACATGGTGTGTTTTAGGATACTGGTGTCCTAGCAGACTTTTAGGTAAACCTGATAAAGATTTTCTGAAGAGGAAAGGAATGTGTAAAATTTAATTCAGAATATATAGACTGTAAGTGAAAAAAGAGAATATGGATCAGTGGTTTTAAAAGGTTATGAATTTAGATGACTTTAGATTAAATCTATAGGTCCATAGACATAGATGGTGTATAGTATGCTTACTGCAAAAACTTAAACATTTAATAAAAAAATAAAATATGATGATGTGTTTAGCTATTCTAACAGCAGGTCCTTGAGAACAGAGTAGTTGATGTAGTAAAGCATCTAGTTTCACTATAGTCACCCAAGATTGACTAATCTGTCTCATGTTTTTGACATTTAAATATTTTTATATCTTGATATTTTGGGTTCAGTCTAAGAATAGCATTTGACCTATAGCACATACCTTTCTTGGCGATGTAAGGAAGTAGAGTATTTTATGGATTACCTTTATTTTCTGCCTAATTTGAGGGTTGAATTAATATACTGTAGTTTATCGTAAAGTGTAAGACTATATGGTCCATTCTTTTAGTATATAAAATAGCTTTTCATTAATTAATATTTTACTTCATCAACAGAAATTTATTTATTTATTTAAAAATATTTTTTAGTTGTCAATGGACCTTTATTTTATTTATTTATATGTGGTGCTGAGAATTGAACTCATTGCCTCACCCATGCCAGGCAAGCGCTGTATCACTGAGCCACAACCCCAGCCCCAGACATTTATTTTTATTGAAACTTTTTATGTTTGAAGATATTGGATGAAATAAGCTTTTGAAATAGAAATCTTGTCATGTAAAAATGAAAAGAGTTAATGCATGTAATAAACCAGGCTTGATAGCCTTTTTCTTTTCTCACAATATGTGACCCTAAATATTTTCTATCCAAAGACTCTTTATGTATCTCTAAATTTTAATATTTGTGTTATAATCTCTTATATTTGGTATGATTGGGAAATGATATGGCCCACAGGATGACTTTCACAGGTAATGATTGGTAGCTTTCTTGGTAGATTTTATTTTAATAATATTGGATCTTTCTGAGTATATTTATTGTACAGCCTTCTGCCTTATAAACAAGGTCCATAACAAATGACATTATCTCAGTGACTCTAGGTCCTTCATCTATTAAGAATGTATTGTTATGCAGTTTGTTCTCACAGGGAGTTTTAAACTATGTAGAACTGAATAACCCTACACTAAATGTTTCTAGGTTATTGTGCAGTTTTATTTTCTCTCTCTCTTGTTATTAGCTTCTGCTTTTGACACATAGATTTTTGTGGTAGACATTTTTCATTTTCAGGTCCCTTTCCATGTTATAGATGGATATAGCCTGCAAATGGTGTTTACTTGCCCCCTACTATAACCATAAAAGTTTTATGGAACCACAATCACATAAGGCCATGAGGTGCTGGTAGAACACAATTTTTCAAAATTTCGATTTGTGTTTCCTATGATTTAATACGCTATTTCACACTTTTATGACTTGTTGATATTTTCACCCCATTCTCTATCTGGTAGTGCCTGCACATCTTTCAAGATTCTGCTCAGGCATTATCATGATGTCCTTCTTATGATGATTTCCCCTGTGCCTTCTATCCAGTCCCTCATCTCCCTTCACTTAGGTTAAGAGCCTCTCCCTTCTTTTTTAAAAAATATTTATTTATTTTAGTTTTAGGTGGACACAGTATCTTCATTTTATTTGTATGTGGTGCTGAGGATCGAACCCAGTGCCTCACGCATGCTAGGCAAGCGCCCTACCACTGAGTCACAACCACAGCCCCAAGAGCCTCTCCCTTCTGTGTCTACCTCTACCACATTGTATTAAAATTATTTATTGATTTAAGCATTTGTTTTTCCTCTGGTCTTTAGGCTTCTGGAAGGAGGGCAGGGACTGTTTTATTTTTGTATGCTCAGTGCCAGGGACAGTTGCTGGTGCATAGAAGATCCCTCAGAGTTTGTTGCATTCAATTAGGAAAATAAAGCTGTAAAATAATTTTCATTATGTTTATCATGATGCATTTTCTCTAAATAATTTTTTTGTGAATAGGATATCGGTGCTAGAGATTTTTTATCACATACTCAGTAATTTGTTAAAGTACTTAAATAAGATAACTGTAAAAAGCTTAAAAATAAAAATGTTACTAATTTTTTTACTACATTGTCACTTAAAACCAAATATCAGTTATTAAATTTACATAAGCAGATTTAAGGATCACATATTAATTCATTAAAATAAATTAGTAAGATATAGATGGCCCACAAAATCAGCATCAAGTTTTCCAGGGATACTTTTTAAATACATTACAGGTTGAGCATCTCTAATCCAAAATCTGAAACTTTTTGGCCAGATGGGGGGTGTGTACTGGGGAATTAAGCCCTGGGGCACTCAACCATATTTTAAGTACTCCTGCATTTTTTAATTTATTTTTTTAGTTGTTGATGGACTTTTATTTTATTTACTTATTTTTATGTGGTGCTGAGATTGAACCAGTGCCTCACATGTGTGAGGCAAGTACTCTACTGCTGAGCCACAACTCCAGCCCCTGCTCCTGCATTTTGACTTCTACAAGTCACATGAGGTTAGGGATGAATGGTTAGGGATTAGCAGTTCATGTGAGAAGTGATGTCTATTTGAGAGAATATTAATTTTTGGTATATCAGAGTAATTTCCTGTCAAAGTAGTCATACAGAATCTGAGGAAATGAACAAAATATCACCCTCACCTACCTATAAACATTGCTTATAGATTTGGAGGTATATTACTAATAGAAATTAATTTCTTCCTGTCTGAAAACTGAAATAAATTTTGATAATATTTAACAACTAATCCTTTTTGCTGTCATCTGTCTTTATCTCTGTAATCAACAATCAGTTGACCTCAACTTCTTACACTCATTAATAGTTGATTATATGCCTGTATACACGGTAACTCGTCTCACAGATGTGCTTTAGAGCCTAACTTGATTTAAATTTTCATTTGATTTTCACATGACATTTTCATTTTAATGCATTGAAAACTATCAATGTATAAATTTATCTTCTGACCTTAAAATAGGACTTTTTTTTGCCAACTCTGGAAAGAGTAAAATTTTATAAATGTGGCTTGAGTAAGATTGTGGATTCTTACTGATCTTCTCTCTCTTGTGTATATTTGCTCATATAAAATAATTTAACTAAGAATACTACCAATTCTCCTGTTTCTTATATGTAATAATCTAGCTCAGTAAAAGCTCAATTCAGGTGCTTGGAACATGCTTTTATTATCAGTATAATCACTTGCTCACAAACAAGAACATCCTGATTATATATATTATAAATCTTTTAAGTATTTATTATAGGGTTGAGTTCTTATCTGATTTTTGTGTTCAATATTCATTCAGAATTATGTATGTTAAATATCTTCAGTAATTCAACTTTCAAAGTTTACTT